GTGGTGGATGTGTTATAACCGTTTATTCAAAGTCAGAAAGATTTGTTTTTGTCCAAGTATTTTTTAGAGACATTTAATTTTCAGGAAACGAGACAAAGCATATAGTATTATTGGTGTGAGTAATAGATAATTAAATAAACAAGATTCTTTGTAAATTAAATAGAAATAATTTTAGAGAGAAGTAGCAGCATCTGGCGCTAATGAAACAATGTTTGTTGGCAGACAAAATATGTCAGAGTTCGGTATGAATTTACTAAAGAAAAAAGAGCACTTTTGACATAATATTTAATTTTCTAAGGTGGATTAGCTATTGCAGTACCTGGTGAATTACGAGCTTATGAAAAAGCTTTTCAAGAATTTGGTGGAGGTATTGTAACATGGAAAGAACTTTTTGAACCAACAATTCGATTGTGTCGAGATGGTTTTGAGATTAGTATATCACAAGGTACAGCTATTCAACAACAAACAAATAATATCCTTGCTGATTCTGCATTAAGGTTAATATATGAATCAATAATTTATTAAAATTAATCAATAAACAAAATATTTTATTCTAGAGAACTTTTCGTCAAAAATCGAGAGACAAATGAATTATACAAAGCTGGTGATATAATGAAACGACCAAAATTAGCTGATACACTTGAAATAATTGCTAACCAAGGTGCCGATGCATTCTATACAGGTGTTTTAGCTGATAAAATTGTTAGGGAAATTGAAGCTAAAGGCGGAATTATAACAAAAGAAGATCTTGCTAATTATACAGTTGATTTTCGTGAAGCATTAAGTGTTGATATTGGTAATTCATCTACTGCATATACAACACAAGCACCAACAAGTGGACCACTTCTTACTTTTATGTTAAATATAATGCAAGGTATTCATGAAACGATTTTTGTAAAAGTTTAAAAAAATATATTGTTTTAAATAAGGTTACAATATGCAAGTACAAGATTTACAGCAACCAGAATCATCTGCTTTATTTTATCATCGTCTTATTGAAGCATTTAAATTTGCTTATGCAAAAAGAAGTGAACTTGGTGATCCATTGAAAATAGATATTGATGACGTAAAGAAAATGATTATTTATTTTGCTTTAATAAAAATAAAAAATAAATTTTTAGCTTATCCATAATTTAACATCAAAAGATTATGCCGATAGTATTCGTGCAAAAGTCGAGTATGTCAAATAAATTTGATTTAGTTTTGTTTTCATTTTCATATTTAGTGATTCTAAAACATTTGGGTTTGAATATTATGGTGGAACTTGGCTAGATAGATATACAGTAGGAACAGCTCATTTATCAGTTGTTGGACTTGATGGTGATGCTGTTGCATTAACATCAACTGTTAATCTCTAGTATGAACTATTCCATAGTTGATTTTAAAGAATTTTTCTCATATTTTATTAATTAGTTATGGTTCAAAAGTCCTTGGTCCTGAAACTGATATTTTTTATAATAATGAAATGGACGATTTTTCAACACCAAATACAACTAATTATTTTGGTGTACCAGCAAGTCCAGCTAATTATATAGCACCAGGCAAACGACCAGTTTCATCCATGTCACCTGTAATTATTATAGATAAAGAAAGTAAACGTATCCAACAAGTTTTAGGTGCTAGTGGTGGTACAAGAATAACAACAAGTATTGCTCAAGTTTCATTGCTTAATTTATGGTTTAATAAAAATATTAAAGATGCAATTGATGCTCCACGTCTTCATTCTCAATTATTACCACAAGAAGTTATTGCTGAACGTGGTTTTGATTATGTAAGAAATCTTTTGTTTTTCATTTTTTTTTTGAATTATTGAGAATTCTTCATTTTATTTTAGAATATTTTACAACGATTAAAACAACGTGGACATAATATAACATGTGGTTCTTTTGGTGGATCTACTATACAAGGTATTGAATGGCGTGATGAAGCAAATCAATACTGGGCAAACTGTGATATACGTAAAGGTGGCGCACCCGACGGAATATAAGAAAAAAATATATATGTATTCATTTTTATAATATTTTAAAATCTTAATAAATTTTGACGATTATCACAATGGAAAAATGTAAGGCGGTGTGAGTGAACTACGTAGTATGTACATCAACTTGAATATAGAATGACAATTAACATAGATTTATTTCGTTTAAATTAAAAATTTTAAAAGAAAACTAACATTAAAACATAACAAAAGAATTTTTATTATATACAATATAAAACACACCATATTATTTAAGTTTACTTGAAATTCGTTTAATATCATCTATAATTCGAACATTATCTGGATAAGTGGGTGGAAAATTATGTCGATAAATAGATGCTGCTTTTTCATAATAAGCTAATGCTTGTTGGAATTCATTCATTTCTTCATAAACACACGCAATATTACTGAATGTCGATGCAATCGATGGATGTTTTGATGAAAATGTTTTCGTTTTAATTTTAAGTGATAACTGATAATTTTCTAAAGCAAGTTCATAATTACCGAGATAACGATATACACTACCAATGTTATTATACGCTTGTCCCAAACAAAGATGATCGGCTGGAAAATGTTTTTTTAATATTTTCAAAGATTTTTCATGACATTCAAGTGTTTTAATATAATTTTTTTCTTCACCATAAATACAACCAATATTATTTAAACACATGGCAATTTTCGGATGATCACCATCATATGCTTTAATCCAAATATCTAATGCTTTATTATAAGATTCAAATGCTTGAGAAGAATTTCCTTTTTTTCGTTCAATATCAGCAATACTACTGTAACTATCTGCAATACTAGGATCAAATTCTTCTAATATTTCCTTCTTAATTTCTAATGATTTTTCATGCCATTCAGAACTTAAATTACAATTATCTTTTTCCATTGCTATATTTCCTAATGCATAATAACATTCCGAGATATTGTAATAATCATCACCTGATAAATTAGTTAATAAACGTTGATAATATTTTTCAGCTTCTGTTAATTTTCCCATTCTCCATAAAATGTCACCGAAAGAAAGTAATTTTCTTTTATTATCATTGGTATCAAATTTTAAATCTTTAAATATTAATTTTAATTGTGGATCATTATCTGAACATAATGTTATTCGTATAATTGACAATCCATCATGTTGACGATGAATGTCATTAATACGAAATATTGATCCAACCATAAATAATATTTCATCGTCTTGACCAGTATAACCAAATGGTTTAATTTCATCCAGACGAGGATCAGCATCAATTTCAAATAAAGTTCCTCGTAATTCATCTGACTCAGTTAAATGTTTTAAAGCTTTTTGACGATTAGAATGTGCTGATAGAAATGAACTTATGGAAATCAAACCTCCAATTGAATTGTTAAGTGTTTGTAATTCATCATTTGATAGAAACTGTCCTCGGTAAACACGTATTGGAGATACACATCTATTTCGCTTAAGTTGATCTTGCATATCATGAAGAAAAAAA